TAATGGGTTCCCTCCTGCTCTCAGGCCCAAGAGCAGCCAGAAAAAAAGCAGCCAACATATTCCTCTCCTATCAAATGTTCTGTAAGATGGTGTCATTCATTTTAGAGCTTCGGCTAAACCAGAAATACATCCCCAGCACTCACTGTATATGATTGTGGTTGGCCAATCACCAAAGCTGTCACAATTGCAATGTTAAAGCTGACCTCCGGCCTCCCCATCAGCCATGCACAGTTGTACCGGCTCCTCTCCTGGACTGAAATGGCTTCCTCTGATTTCACAGCAAACTGTGAGCTTCTCACCATGTGCATTAGAAGCTGCTGCAAGTCAGATAGAGCCCGCCTCGTTTCCTGGCTGGAGAACATCCAGTGGCTCTAGCATTTTCCTTCCCAGTCTGGCTGTCCCTGGCCGGCATCTTTCATTCTTTGTATTTCCGTTCTTACAGTCACGGAGACTCAGCATCACATGTGGGCATTACATAGGGTAGTCTGGATGCGAATACAATCTGCATAAGACCACACACCCCTCCAGACTGACATCCACCCATCAAGCCTTTTTACATTTGCATAACTCCTCCCAACAGCCAGCCCACTACATGCATCAGGACTGAGAGCTCTTAAGTGGCATACTGAGGCATGGTGCTATGATGTTTTCAGAAAGCTGTGCACAGAACCCTGCCAGCGCCTCCCACCAGCAATGATATGCCTGCATTACACACATCGAAGCACAGAGACCCAATGATGGGGTCTAAAATAAAGCTGGTCATACACGACTCAAATTCCAAGATCAAATTGGACAAAATTTGACCCAGAGGTGGCACTGTCAGCACCAAACCCTAATTACAAAATCAAAGGAGCCGGTGGAAAAATTTCAGCCAAACAGCAACTGCATCCAATCAGCTTCAGTCACCGCGTGGCTATTCAGACAGCCATGGGTGCCAGCTGTATATCTCTCATTCAGCCTCTGTATGTATAATGGAAATGGAAAGGTTTTGTGCAGGGGCGTAACTAGAAATCACAGGGCCCCATAGCAAAATTTTGTATGGGGCCCTGTGATTTCTAGTTACACCCCTTGAAGAGCCCACATAGCTCACCTGAGGGTGACCCTGCAGAGCCCACCATAGACTGTCTATGGTGGGCTCTGCAGGGTCACCCTCAGGTTGGCTGGTCACACTCCTTACCTGTCCGCCTCTTCTTCCTCCGTCTTCCCTCCTCCGTCGCCGGGCCCGCTCCGTCCTCCGTCGCCGGGCCCGCTCCGTCCTCCGTCGCCGGGCCCGCCTCCTCCTCCATCAGCGGCCCCGCCTCCTTCTCTGATGCTGACCCCCCCGGGCCCCGCCTCCTCCTCCCCGCCACATCCAGCCTCCTTCACCGCTGCTGACTCTCATTGACTCAGCAGTGGCAATGGAGAAGAACGCAGCGCTGCACAGATCACGGTGATCTGAACAGCGGTGCGTTCGAACCCATAGCGACCCAGGCGGCCCGCACGACATCAGGGGGGTGTCCTGGCCGGGGTGGGTCGCTATGGCTATTGTTACGCCACTGTTTTTTTGTATAAATGTCGCCAGCATGTTGATTGGGAGGGTGTGGGTGGGGTAAGAACCAGGAGAGGCCGAATACAAGCAGATTCAGCTTCATATACTCCGGTGTATCTAATCAGTCTTTTGCTCCATGTGTGGAATCACATCAGAGATTGTTTCTTGTCTCGTACAGATAAAATAATTAGTTGGTCAAGAAGCAGAAACCTTTACCCCAATATGTGTATCAATAACGAGTGCCAAAGTCCGGAAATGATTAGATAAAAGTGGAACTGATGCCTGGAGCAAGAAGACACATGCCCGTCCTAATGTATCTGTCGGAAATCTCCTTTCTCTCTGCGCTGACTTCTCCTAATGATTCAACGGATTTCAAAGTGTATAATAAACGTTAAAATACGGGGAGTGCAAAGGTGACCCTAAAGGTGCCGCATCCCTACAATATAGTCACACTTCCCTGATGTCTTACAACACAAATAGTGAGTATATACAGTACCTGATGGTGAAGCTTTCTGAGCCAGAGTGCCCAAACTGGATCACTAAACCAACTTATGTATCTCAAAGTGCCAACCCTGCAATTGCAACCTCTGCAGGCTCTTAGGTGTTCTGTACAGGCTCTCAGGGGCGCAGTGTGGGCTCTCAGGGTTCTGAGCCAGAGTGCCCAAACTGGATCACTAAACCAACTTATGTATCTCAAAGTGCCAACCCTGCAATTGCAACCTCTGCAGGCTCTTAGGTGTTCTGTACAGGCTCTCAGGGGCGCAGTGTGGGCTCTCAGGGGCGCAGTGTGGGCTCTCAGGGGCGCAGTGTGGGCTCTCAGGTGGTCAATAAAGGCTTTTGGGGCGCTGTGCGGCTCTCAGGTGGTCTGTATGGGCTCTCATGGGGGAGCCTCAGCTTTAGTAATACATGTATATGGCTCCCAGACCCAAATGGCATTTGGAGCTCCCGAATGCAAATCAGAAATTCGGATTCCGAATGCCATTCGGGTCTGGGAGATCCAGCTTCAGTATTAATATCTGTATCTGGTTTTCTGTGGTATGCACAACGAATATTCGTAAACTCATCCGAAAATCGTGCTAATCAGAAAACCCAAACCGAATTGAATTTCAGATCTGAAACCCGAATCCCGAAATAACGAAATATCCAAACCAAATGTTTCCGCAGCTTACAGGTCTAATTGCCTTGCCCTTCACATAACACACAATATCACAATATTGCATTTTGCATGTCTCATTATTAATAGGGATTTCCAGAAGGAGTTTCAACACGTTTTGTGAATGTTTCACTTCTTCAGGGACAAGGTGGACATCTATGGTATGCAATGGACAGCTACAATGCCTGGCCACAAAAAACAAGTCACCACCTGGATTTATCTAAGCAAAGGTCAGAGCCTTCCATTGGATAAGTGTTATGATCTGGGGTTGCTTTAGTTGCTCAGGTCCAGGTTCAGCAATGTTATGTCCCCCAAAAAACGAGGTCAGCTGTCTACCTGAATATACTGAATGATCAGGTTTTTCCATCAATGGATTTTTTCTTCCCTGATGACACATTGGACATATTCCAAGATGACAATGCCAGGATTCATCGGGCTCAGATTGTGAATGAGTGGTTCAGGGAGCATGAGACATCATTGTCACACATGGATTGGCCACCACAGAGTCCAGACCTTAACCCCATTGAGAATCTTTGGGATGTTCTGGAGAAGACTTTACGCAGTGGTCCGAATCTCCCATCATCACTACAAGATCCTGGTGACAAATGAATGCAGCACTGGATGGAAATAAATGTTGTGACATTGTATAAGCTTACTGAAATGATGCCACGGGGGAATGAGTGCCGTAATCAAAGCTAAAGGTGGTCCAATGAAATATTAGAATGTGTGACTTTTTTTGGCCAGGCAGTGTATGATACATAATATAAGCTGTTAACAATCACAGTATACGATGATGGATACACATTTTATATTGATCATTTGTGCATAATAAACTTCTAACTCACATGAAAACTCTCATCAAATTTCCTAATCAATTAGAAACAAAGCTTGTGCGTGTCAACACATGACCTCTCTTAGAGCTCTGGAGGGTCCCAGAAGAGTCTTCAGGAAAGGAGAAACCAATCTGATGGTCATACAGAGAGGAAATTAGCAAGAGAAGTGTGTCAAACCCATTTTCAATATTACATTATGCGTGTCTCAGTATTAATAGGGGAGGACAGAAGAAGTCCAAACATGATTTGACTTGACTCGGACCTCACCTTTCTTCCCCACATCCAATCGCTATCCAAATCCTGCCGCCTTCACCTTCACAAAATCTCCAAAATACACCCCTTCCTCACCAATGAAACCGCTAAATTACTAATTCACTCACTTGTCGTCTCCTTAAAATTCAAAATATTAACAATGACTTACAAAGCCATCCACAACTCTGCCCCCGGCTATATCTCCAACCTTCACCCTATCCGTCCCCTCCGCTCTTCCAAAGACCTCCTGCTTTCCAGCTCCCTCGACAACTCCTCCCATGCCCGCCTCCAGGACTTCTCTAGAGTCTCTCCTATCCTCTGGAACTCTTTACCCCAACCTGTCCGTCTGTCTCCCACCTTGACAGCCTTTAGTCGATCCCTAAAGACTCCTCTCTTCAGGGAAACCTATCCCACCTCAACCTAACCACTGAACCATCACGTTCTCAAACAATTCCTCCCCACACAGCTACCTCCTCATGTATACCTTCCCCCTCCCATTTAGCTTGTAAGCCCTCGGGGGCAGGTCCCTCCTTACCATCTTGTCTTGAATTGTATTGCGATTGTAATGTCTTCCCTATATTGTAAAGCGCTGCACAAACTGTTGGCGCTATATAAATCCTGTGTAATAATAATAATAATATTCTGTGAATGAATTCACGTCTTCCGGGATCAATTAACAAACAACCAAACTTTCTGGGGTCAATTGCCCAGACAGGATATAGATGGGGGCTTTTAATTGATGCTCATGAACTAAATATGAAAACCAGGTTGCACATAAAATCTTCTCACATTTATTAATTCCAAAATGTTAAAAAAACAAACTATAACAAAAATGCATAAAAACGCAAGTAAATAAGGACAGTAGCACAGAGTATATACATAACCCGCCCAGGACCTTGTACTATATCCCATGTTAGTCCATAATATTATCTAGTGAATTGCTTCTGAGAGATAAGATGTTTCAAAATATTGAAGATATAGTTAAGCATGGGTCCTAGTTCTTACCGCGTT